CCTGAGGCCACGCTGACCCTGCGTGGGCTTCACCCCGGTTAAGCCTCTGGAGCGATGTCCCTCAGCGGAACAGACTTTTAAAAGTCCCGATTTTGTGCTCCGTTGCTCCGCCGCTTGCCGGGAGCCGGTCCCTCCCCCGCTCTTTCTCTTTCTAAATAAATAAACAAAATCTTTTTGAAAATGAAATAAAATGTTCTACCTCTGGAAAGGAATACTTGCCAAAGCCACATCCTTAAGACCCAGTTTCACTGTCTCCGGTTAAAATTGAGACTTAATAAAAATATCAGAGTAGGTCCCCTTCTTGACCTTTCACCCCCATGCTAGGAAACCTTGAGTAAAAGTCACAGTGCAATACTATTGAGAGAACTTCAAGAGACCTTTCTTTGGGGAGCAGAACAAAGACTCAAAGACAAGTGAAGAGACAAAGATAAAGTACAACTGGAGAATTTTTAAGTGTCTGAACTCTGACAAAAAATTTCAACCCTGATAACTTAGCAACAAAGACTTCAAATCCAGGCTAACTTCTGACTAGTAACACAAACACCCACATAATGGCTAGCAGAAGGAAAGGTGTGCTCATTTTCAAGTATAAAATACATTTATCTCAGTATCTACTGTACCTTACAACATGTCCAGCTTCCAACCAAAAATTTCAGAGGCATAAAACAGGTCAAAATTAAAGATAGTCTGAGGCTATGAAGCAGTCATCATAACAGACTGAGATATGATACAGATGTTGGAACTATCGAAGAATTTAATATAAATATGATTAATATGTTAAAGGCTTTAATCTAATAGAAAAGGTAAATAGTATACAAGATCATCAGACAGATGATTTCAGCAGAGAGATTTGAAGAATCAAAGGAAATGCAAAAAATAAAAACACAGTAGCAGAGATGAAGAATGCCTTGAGAGGCTCACCAGTGGATTTAAGAGATATAAGGAAAGAATTAGTTAACATAAAGATAGACCCACTAGAAATTACATAAACTTCAATGGAAGGACTAGAGATAGAGAAGGAGAGAAGCAGATAACCTTAACTCCTAGAAGAAGAAAACTGTAAGAACTCTCCCCCTTTCTCCCACTATCAGATTTGAACCAATAAAGGACCAAAATCCTTTAGTAAGAAATGGCTTCTTTACACTAATTATCGATCAATGATAACAATCACACAGTAACGAGAGGGATATACTGATAAACTGAGTTAGCAACCCTGTTTTGCAGGATGTTTTAGGGTAAATACTGTGGCTCCCTTTCTCTGCAGTCTATGGGTCTTAGCTGTGTGTTCAGAGCACCACTTCCTCTTAGTAAATCAGCCCTCAGATTTGCTCTGTGATCAGTTCGGTATTCAACCACCTCTCCTGACAAGTGCCGGCAAGATGCTGCGCCCATCACAGGTCATCCTGCTGGCCTCCCTGTGGATCTGTAAGTGGCTTTACCCATGGGAGATTTCACTCAGTGAAGAAAAGAGATAGAAAGCATGGACAATCAAGTCAGCCATTGTGGGCAGAAGAAAGCCCAAAAAGTCATTCAACCTGGGCAAATAAATTCCACCATGACCTTGAATTCTTCAGGAAAAAAATGTAAATCCTAAACCCCTAGGTTTTCGTTAATAGAAAATAAATGTGTACTATTTTAAGGAATGTCAAAATTTTGCTAATTGTTATTTTTGTTTTCCTTTCAGATACAAATGCAGAGTTTTTAATAACGCAACTTGTACCATCCATTACCAAGAAACAAGGAAACACAGCATTTTTAGAATGCCAAATAAAAGCAGGAGGCTTAAGGAATAATGTATATATTCACTGGTATCAACAGAAGCCAGACCAGCCTCTAAAACGAATTCTGTATATCTCCTCAAATGAAAATGTGGTCCACGAACAAGGGTTTAATGAGGAAAGATATGAAGCCAGGAAATGGCAGAGGGATTTGCCAGCGAGTCTTAGGATACACCGAGTTAATGAGGAAGATGCTGGGCTATATTACTGTGCCTGCTGGGATACACTGTATAGAAATGCTCCACTTCCACTGAACAAAAACCCTCCCACAACGCCACACCCCTGCAAACATATACATGCTCCTTTCTACCTCCCAGAGGGACCTGGCTATTGGCTGGACTGGACATTTCTCCTGCATCTGTGTCCTCAGCAAGGTCTGAGCTAGGACCCCAAGCCCCCAATCTGTGTTGTTTCTTTTAGTCAGGTCACCTTATCATCTATTTACCTCTCTGGGGCCTAGGTTGGCTTTTGTTAGTGACATCTGGTGTCCTAGTTAGTGTCCTTCTTCTACATCTATGAGAAGTTTCTGGGGAAGGAAGCTAAATCCAATAAGCAAAATGGTGTGCTGACTTTGAATGAATGAATGAATGAATAAAGGAATGATGGAAGATGTAAGGCCTTTGAAGTAACATGGACTTGGGTTTGAACTCCTGCTCAGCCTCTTAACTGACAGCATGATCTAGGAAAGTTACTACATCTTTCTCATACTGTTGCTGGGGACTGAAGAAGGTTGCATGCAGGACAGGTCTAGCACAGGGTCAACACATCACTGTGTCCTTTTCCACTACAACTACACTGTTTCTCTGAGCCATCTCAGCTAACATAGGAAGTCAGGAATTTTTAAAAGGCACATTTTACATTGTCTTCCCAATAATAATCAAGTTTGCTTTATTTTGAAAAGCTAAGAACTGTGAATAGGAAAAGAGTTGAGGGTAATAAACCAAAGGATGTCTTTTCACCAAGAATTTTCTTCATTCACAGCAGAAACATCATAGCGTCTAAAGCAACAGCTACGGCAATTGTGAATATTCACCAAGCCTTGGAAATTTTTTACAAACTACTGATCTACAGAATGTACATGCTTCTGGATAAAGTTGTGGGATTATTGTCTCATTTGTTATTACATAAAGTAATAAGATTTTTCTTCTAATTCTCACCATAGCCATATAGTTCCACACACTCTTCCACATGGTGGAAAATCTCTAAGTCTGAGTGAAGTAGAGCTCAAGGATAGGTGTGTTTGAAACAAAACCTAATGGAAAAATGTGAGGATGTTTCTCTGAAGGGAAAGATTACAATGAATTATTATAACATAGGGTTTAGGTGAAGTCTTCTGGGATCTGGTAGTTCTTTACACCAGGAATATAATCAACAACACTCAGACAGATCTTACTGAGAAGGTCTTTCCTTGGTTCTAAAGCAAACCTTCCTCCCCCAGCCCTGCCTTTGATGAACAAGGGCTGCTACTTCCTCCCCAGTCCTGATTAATGGCCCCTCTTGGAGAGAATTCTAACTAGTCACTTTCAAATGTCAACCCTATGGATATATGGGTCTTTGGCTTGGGTTTGTAGGTTGAATGTACTTGTTTCTTGTCTTTTCACTGTTTTTATGTCTACTGTCAACTTGTTCAGGTACCTCTGACCTCACTCTATTGCATTTCAAATGGAGACACCAGAGTGAGAATCTTTCAGAATCAACTTTCCTTTACCTGAACACCAGACAGAACAGTTCACATACATTGCAAGCAGTCTGGAGTTTCTCTCAAGAAGGTCATTGTCCACTGGTACCAGCGAAAATAGAAAAGCCCCTGAAATGAATCCTATATGGCTCCACCAATATTACCTGTAAGACTAGCCCCATTCCAGCTTAGACACAGATAAGAAAAATAACAGTCTTTTACCTGATAGTCAGTAAGGTCCTCATGTGCCATGAAGCCCCCTGATACTGTGTCTACTGGGATCTCACAGTATTGCAGAGTCAGAAGGGAACTGTATGAAATCATTTTCTATTACTAACCCTCAACTCCTTTCTCACTTGAGCAGCCCAGCAGACCCTTTCTTGCTCTTCATCTCAGGTTCATAAGCTGTGGGAACACAAAGTGCCCTTTGGACATACATAGCCCAATGCCTAAGCAGCAAATGGGACATGGGAGCCCAGAGATGACAAATGTCTTGTCCAAAGCTAGTTAACCACAGAGACAGGGCTACACATGTATTTTTGAAGATCATAGAAGAGCTTCCAAGAGGCTTCCCCTTTCAACATTTCAGAAAAATGGATTTTGTTTTCAAATTTTGGTTTGAATCAAAATCTATTATCTCATGGGAGATAAACTTCTACAAATCTCTTTTTTATTCCAGGAAAAACATTGTCATTACACAAATTATTTTCTCATTTTGCCTGGTGTGATAAAGAATCATGTTGTCAAGTCGTGAAAGTAGCTGATTAAAAAATGGAGGCCATTCGATTCACAGACCTGTACCCCTGGGGATAAAAATATATTATATGTTTAAAAAAATAATAATAAAATTTAAATTAAAAAAAATAATAAAATTAAATAAAATAAAAAAAAATGGAGGCCTTTGTTCATATTTCCAAAGTATATCTCTGTTGGTATATTTACATTTTGGGTTACTGAAGTTTCCTCCTTTAGAAATACAATCCCAAATTACTAACAGAGCAGGTCTGGTGTTTGTGAGAACAGAAGGGTTTTTCCTTTGATGCATCTCTGAGCAGTTTCACACTACTGAACACGTGGAAATCAAAACCTCTTAACTGACTGAATACTTTTCCTGGTAATGTAGATAAACAGTTGGTTGACCCGTACTACCAATCTCTCTCTTTTCTTTTGCTTTTATTGTTTCTGTTTTCCATCAGCTCTTCTCAGTGAATACTGCCTTCTTGAAAAACAGACACTTAGGTAACTCAGCTCAGGAAAACTTACAAAATATCAGATACTAAGAAGCCTATATTCAAGGCTTTCTAAGGAAACCCAGAAGATCAAATTGCCAGTACCATGTTTCTACCTGCTGGTCCTGCTGTGAAGCTCAGGAGAAGGCTGATGTTTTTGTAGAACCTCTAACCAGTGTGATAACTCAGGCTGGATCAAGATGTTTGCACAGGGAACTAAGCTCATAGTAATTCCCCCAGGTGAGTAACCTTGTTTTATTTCAATCCTGTGAGTGAAAAATTGATAGATATTTTTAAGAAAAAATAATATAGGATCCCCTCCACATGTGGATAGCAATTTTGCAGCTACTCGTCACTCTAGTGGAAAGAAAACTACTTTGTAAATGGTTTATTTACTTCCCTGCTTGCAAACAGATTATATGTCTACTTTTAGAAAATACACACACAGTAAAATATATTCAGGATTGAAATTAAAATTATTTTGAGAACTGTGTCTACAAAGCTTTGGTGTGAGTTATTGGTTCAACATGTTTTTCTTGTAGACAGTCTCTTAAGTGAGAAACAATTTAGTCAACTACATCCAGTATTAGTAGTGTTCCTTTCTTAATGGGTAGTGCTTCTTTCTCTAGTAACCTGCAAAATATATGATTTCTTTGATCTTTTTTAAACAGAAGTACAGGGATGCCTGGGTGGCTCAGTGGGTTAAAGCCTCTGCCTTCGGCTCAGGTCATGATCCCAGGGTCCTGGGATCGAGCTCCGCATTGGGCTCTCTGTTCAACAGGGAGCCTGCTTCCTCCCTCTCTCTCTGCCTGCCCCTCTGCCTACTTGTGATCTCTGCCTATCAAATAAATAAATAAAATCTTTTAAAAAATAAACAGAAGTGCAAAAAAATTAACAGAATAAATGACTATAAAACATCAATAAATCTCATTTATTCTTATTACTGTAACATCTTAGAGAGGAGGGTGAGACTGGTCAAAATGTGTGCGATTATGGCTCTTGTGATATTGCCTAGAGATGGTCCAGTTTAATGGAATTTTTGAGCTCAGTAAACCATTTCAGCTCCAGAACCCATAAAAAGAATCTGTCTTCATGCTTTTACATTTTCGTTTGTTCATTTAGTGTCTCAGCAAATATTTATTGAAGACAGTTTCTGTACTGGATGCTAGAGATAAAAGGATGAACAAGACACAATCTCATCACTCAAAAAGCTTCCATCTAAAGGACAACAATTTTAGATTGTGGCTTCATTGGGCCCCACATTTTTTGGCTTGTGACTACCAGAGACGCAGAACATCTTAGATTCATCAGCTCTTTTGCTTTCTTAATTTATGTAATACCTATTGGTTATAAAATTCATATACTTGGGGCACCCAGTTGGCTCAGTAGCTTAAGCATCTGCCTTCGAGCTGAAGGTCATGATTTCAGGTTCCTGGGATGAGCCTTGCATCAGGCTCTCTACTCAGCAGGGAGCCTGCTTCTCCCTCTGTCTCTGCCCCTACCCCCAGCTCATGGTTTCTCTCAAGTAAATAAATAAAAATCTTCTAAAAAATAAAACAAAGTTGTATTTTTATTGGAAGAATTTGATTAAAAAAGACCTGAAACCATTCCTGCAAAGGGAACAATAATATTAGCTAAGATTTATTAAGGGCCAGATACCATGCTGACTGGTCTAGTGCACTATCTCATTCCTCCACAGCCCTATACAGAAAATCCTCTTTTTCCAGTTTTGCAGTAGGGAAACTGAGGCTTAGAGATGTTCAGTTATTTACCTAAAGTCACATGACTAGTTATTATGGCAAAGAGTGGAATCCAAGAGAGACTTGTCCATTCCAAAAAAGTGTGGTCTAGGCCATAATGTGATATTAGAAACACTAAGCCATATTTTTAAAAGATTTTTATTTATTTATTTATTAACGAACTATGAGAGACTGGACTCCAAGAAACAGACTGAGGGTTTTAGAGGGGAGGGAAAGAGGGGGTGGTCTAGCCTGGTGGTGGGTATTAAGGAGGGCACACATTGCATGGAGTACTGGGTGTTATATGTAAACAATGAATCATGGAACACTACAACAAAAACTAAGGATGTACTGTATAGTGAGTAATATAATATAAAAATAATTAAAAAACTGAAAAAAATATTTATTTCTTAGAGAGAGAGAGAGGGAAAGTGCAGATGGGGAGAGGAGCAGAAGGGGAGGGAGAGTTGTCCTACGTGCAGAACTCAGTTGCATAACTCAGAGCTGTCTTTGCACTCCTGCCAGGACAGCTGCAGAGAGACCAAAACAAACAGGATCTTCCTCTTGATAGGGCAACTCAGATTTTTAAATCAATTCTCTGGAAACTGTTAGGGTAATTTCAAGCTCAAAGGAACAGTCCTTCAGGAATAACTAGGTTAAGAGATCATAATTATAATTTCAGACTCTGTAACAACTTATCAGGTCTAGTGTCAGTGGGAATTAGATTCTGGAAAGAATTTATTTTACAATTAAACCAGATATCCACCCCTTAATATATAGAAATAAAATAATCCTGTAAAAATACTGAACACTCACTTATTAAATACTCGAATACATTATTTCTATTTTTTCTTTTTTGAAAATTAAAGAAATATTAACTATAAATTACACTCTAGTAAAAGAAGTGAAATCAGAGAAGAAAACCCTTTAAGGGAAGATATTAGAACTTTCAGGAAAATGGTGAGAAAAGGTAAAATCATACTCTCCAACCCCTGTGAATGAGGGAAAGATGGAAAGATGGAACCAAGTTGACCCTGGTGAACACCAAGTTCATGGTGTCAGGGCCACAGAATCAAGCCCCATGTCAAGCAGCCAGTCAAGCCCCATGATGGGCTCCATGCTCAGCAGGGAGTCTACTTATCTCCCCCTCTCTCTCCCTCTGAGCCTGCCTCTGCTAGTATACTCTCTCTCTCTCTGTCTCTAACATAAGTAAATCAATCTTTAAAAATTTTTTTTAAATGATGAGAATGTAATAAGCATTGTCTCAAGTATTGTTACCTTGAATATAAGGTACTCTCTCATTTTTCAGTGGAAATATCCAGACATAAAGGAAAAAGGGAGGATGTTTTGCAATTTGAATATATAAACTTAAAGTGATATGGATAAAAGCCAAATATTCACTTGTATATTTAATATCTTAATTATCTAGGTATATTTAGAAAGTTAAAAATTGCATCAATTCAAACATCAATTGAGAAACTGCTTTTTTCCCCCTCAATTTTATTCATTTCAGACACTTCATACGCATCTAAAACATATACTTCAGAGCAAATTTCTTAGTCGTCCCAGGGTCTGAGTGTCTAATTTGGGATCCCCTTATGATGACATCAGTGGATAGTTTTTCTGAAGAGAAAATTACCCACTTACAAAATTAAAAAAAAATTTTATATTCCCTCTGGTATTCCATATTTTTCAATGTAAGCATAACATGTAGAGATTTTTGTTCCAGGTAATATTTACCAAATCCATATTAAACTTCTTTACTGCCTTTACCAGCTCTACCTCTAAAACCAACGTTGCGTTTATTTCAGGTTGATACCTTGTCCAAGTAGTATTGTTTGATCAAAGTAGAGCATTAGAAGAGCCTCTTTAATATGAGAGGCTGAAACCTAAGGCAACCCCTTTGTTATGAGGGATAATATTGGAAATGAAAGCTTCACCTTATGCTCTGGCATTTCAGTGTGTTTGATTCTACATGCTTTGGTCTGTATCTCAGCAGGATTTGCAAACATCTCCTGGTTTTCATGTCATCTTTGAGGTAAACCTTACCAAATGGCCAAGCTCTGGGGCAGAAAAAGAAACAAGCTCTAGTGCACAACTATTCCTCATTTATTTATACTGCCTATTTCCAAAATCTATTTGAGAAGACTTAAAATACACAAATAGTGTTCTGCCATGAACTAAAAATAGAAGATCCAAAGCACTGAAGAAAGTAGAAGAAAAAAGGCCTGTGGTTATCTACCAAGAAACACAGGGTCAAATTTTAGGTTCAAAGGTAGGGAAAACTGTGATGAAGTACATACTTTGTATCACCTGTGAAAATGAAGCACACTGACTTCTCACATTTGTTATGTTTTTCCCACCATAAAATGAGAAAAGGACTTTAATGTACAAGTCGCTTAGGAGGAATGTGAAGTGAAAGAGTGGGCATTGCCTTCCACATCCACTTTATAAAATGGAAGAAATGGTCTTAAGTAAAGCACATTCTATGCTCCCACTATGTCGTTACTTTGGGCACCACAATATTTAATGTCATTCACAGATGGTGACCTTCAGCAGACCTGGTCAGACACCAACAAGTTTGGCTTTCACACTCATATTTATTAGAAAAAAGTTTAAACATTTTAAATACAGTTAGAATTTTAAATAAAGTTAGAAATGTCATAAATTTGAAATTCATAGTCAAATATGAATTAGCTTTAATTATTGAATAAAAGAAAAATAACAGAAAAATAAAGAATAATTAAATCAACACCAATATGTAGGTTTGAAATATCACACTTGCACTTGGAAATGTAGTTGACATTTGGTAAATTTATATAGGATTCACAATATCATATCTTAATATACATAACCAGCAATTTAACTCCAATGTATTTTGTGATGATGCCAATGAATGTATATAAATATATTGGACAGGTTTATTTATTTGGAATCTGTTTTCTAATTTATGATTCATAAAATGATTTTGGCCATAAAAATCACTGTTAATAAGCTTAAAAAGAATGTTGAAGGAAAAACTAGGTGCTATAATACCCAAAATATAGGCACTAACCATATTTAATCAAGTACACTATTTTAATGCTCAGCTAATATTCAATTGAGAAAATTATGGGAGTTCAATATTCATTTCATGCTGAAAAGAATAAAACATCAAGAGTCTAGCTAAAGAAAAGGGACAGGAGGTAAAACCAATGTGTTACCAGCCAGAAACTTTTCAAATTCATCAATTTATTTTCAGTTTCTTTACTATAACAAATCAGAAGTATTCCTACAAAAAAACACACAAAGTTTCTAAGATGAAAATTAGATTCCATAAAATATTGACTAGAGATTAAAATTATGTAAATATCATGTATAATTGAAAAATTAATCTTCTTTAACATGCTTTTAAAATTGAAAACAAAGTATATCATTGGAGAAATATACAGTGTCTTAATATTATAATCAAAATAGTATTTGCACTATAGCAAGATATATAAACATAAGTACATTCTGGCTTCATTCTATTTATATCATGAATAAAAGCTCATTGTTTGTTACTCATTTAGTATAAAAATAGGAGCTATGATACACAGAGAGAAATTCTCAAGAATTTTTTTCAAAAAAAAAAAAAAAGAGTACTACAAACTGCCCAGAAGATTTTTTTTCCTTTTCTTCTCAAATGAAAAATCCAATTGTTCTTTTCTAAAGAAATTGCCCATTGTATTACTAAACTCCAAACTAGCCCAAAGAGAATATCAGTAAAGCACTTGCATGATGGAAATAAATTTTATTTTTTTTAAGATTTTATTTATTTATTTGACAGACAGAGATCACAAGTAGGCAGAGAGGCACGCAGAGAGAGGAGGAAGCAGGCTCCCTGCAGAGCAGAGAGCCCCATGTGGGTCTTGATCCCAGAACTCTGGGATCATGACCTGAGCTGAAGGCAGAGGCTTTAACCCACTGAGTCACCCAGGAGCCCCGGAAATACATTTTAAAAGAATTCTAACATTTATAATTTTAATCACTAACAGTAAATGTATAATCAAGTAACATACCAGTGTTCGAGTGACATGCCCTTTAAAACCAATGATGTTTTGCCATATATTTTGACATTGTCTGTAAGAAACTCTGGAACCATACTTCTAACATTACACCAGATATATATATATATATATATATATATATATATATATATATAATCTACCTATCTATCTATATACTTTATTCAGCAGGTGAGATCACAGATACTGTGGGGTTCTAGAAACCAGTCAGCAGCTTTCTAGAGCAGATTCGACTTTAAAGGGAGACTCTGAGAGTCAAAATATGGTGTCTTCTTAGTCATATATAAATGTCAAATGGAATTCCAGTACAAAAGGTGCTTTCAGTGAACATTTTCCAAGCAATACAAAATTCTGATAAGTGCATTAGTTAATACAAAAGCATTTCTGAAAAAAAATGAGTTTTCTAATAGCAGTTTTGGAAATACCACTGGAAATGCCCCACTGCTTCTAAATTCAAGGCATTGTAAATATTTGAGAGGTGAAGTTTTAATCATTTAAAATCCTGGATCCTAAAATCACTTAAAATCCTGGAGTTGTTCGGAATGGAGACTGAGATGTTTTACAAAATCAGGAATCAAATAGGAGACCTCCATTACTTCAAAAGTGGGTTTGGCCCTAAAAGACTCTGAATCTCACAAAACAAACAGAGGGTTGCTGGGGGGAGGTGGGTAGGGAGAGGGTGGTGGGATTATGGACATTGGGGAGGGTATGTGCTATGGTGAGTGCTGTGAAGTGTGTAAACCCGGCGATTCACAGACCTGTACCCCTGGGGTTAATAATACATTATATGTTAATAAAAATAATTTTTAAAAAGTAGGTTTGGGATCCATATTTGAAGATTTAAAGATCAACTGGATAGATTTTCAAGGACACGTGGAAGTGGAGTCTCATTCAAAATGTGTGTATTGTTCCAAAAAAACCCTCACATTTTAATCTAGACTCCACCACTTTATAGTTGTGACTTTGAGCAAGTTACACGGTTTCTTGTAACTCTTTTCACACTGAAAATAAGAACAATCAGTACCTCATAAACCACCGTGGATGAAAGGCCTGACATAAGTACTAATTCTGTGGCAAATTTCATTTCACTGTGCTAGGTGCTTCTAAACCACACAATGTTTGTGTTACTCTAATAATGTTTTAATTGTTATTCCACTTCCCCACAGATAAAAGCGTTAATGTAGACATTTCCCCCAAGCCCACAATTTTTCTACCTTCAGTTACGGAGAGAGAACTCCATAAGGCTGGAACATATCTTTGTCTTCTTGAGGATTTTTTCCCGGATGTTATCAAGATAGATTGGAGAGAAAAGGATGATGAAACAATTCTGAAATCGCAGCAGGGAGACACCGTGAAGACTAACGACACATACATGAAATTCAGCTGGCTGACCGTGACTGGAGCGTCAATGGATAAAGAACACAAATGTATCGTCAAACACGAGTGGAATAAAGGAGGAGTTGATCAAGAGATTCTATTTCCTCCACAGAAAAAAGGTATGTACATGTATATATGAATGCAACCTTCCAGTACCCTTTTTTGCCCCAAAGGAAATAGTCTACATTTTTTGTCAAATATTAATGAAAAGAAACAAATAGAAAATTTTTATTGATGTTGCAACCTTTAATGTAGGACATAAATGTCCTGCTCTTTCTTTTAGAAATCATTTTCTAAAAGAAATTCAGTCCTTTAGAATTGAAGTAGAATGGGCTTTGGGACATACAGAAAAAAAGAAGACAAATTCACTTAGTCTTTCTTGCCTCAGTTTCATCATCTGAAAATAAGGTCACAGTGATGTCTTTGGAGGGTCATTGTATGAATTAATTGAAATAATACATATGGAAGCCCCTAGCAATCTTGCAAACCATAAATGCTCAAGAGAGAACCACACTTGATCATGAAATAAGAACAATTATTCATCTTTCAAGAATGTTCTACTCAACAGCCAGAGTTCTTTTCACTTCAATCTTGCTTTACTCAAAGGATTACCCACAAACAATGAGTTATAAGCTGCAAAATGTTTGAGCCAGATCACAGCTCAACAAAAGTAATTTGGCAGCTGAGGTTTTAGTATGGTCTTGGGTTTTTCATATTTGAATTTATATTCTACTCTAAGGGGAGATTTGGTAAGTAAAGATGAGCTGAGGCTACCGTGTACAAACATTCTCCCTTTCTACACAATGAATGTATTTCTCACCATTGGTAAAGCTGCTCTGCAAACATTCTTGCAGTCCTGGTGTGTGCCAGGCCTGGGAAGATGTAGGATGAACTACTGCTCCAAGGAGGATCACTACAGTAGAGAGAATATACTTGTCTAATCAGTTAGGGTCACTCACGATGCAGACAAGGTGTCCCAAATTAACCTCATTGGTGATGACGCTGGTCATATTCAGACATTGTGGGTGGATGACTGAATGTGCTCTGGACCTGCTGTGATCCAGGAACTCACTAGACTCAGAAGTCAAGTTCTGGCTGGCATTAACATCACAGACCAAGGCCCTACAGAGCCCATAAGAAGGAACTAGTTTATACTTTCCCTGTGGTTCACAAGTGCTTGGGAGCAGCAGACAACAAACACATAACGAGACACGAAAAGACCTTTGCAGTATACCACTCTGAATTGCTGAAGTAAATCTTTATCTTCTTGAATCCTTAGTATCTCCAGTGATCAATTTAGAGTCAAACACTTACTTACCTTTCCTTTCTCCTGGAATGTGATGAAGACAATGTGCAGTAATGCCAGTGAAAATGCTTGGTTTTGAAAACATGAGATGAATATGTTTATTCATTTGTTTTATATTTTCTTTTTTTTTATTTTCCTAATAGCTGGTGTAAAATTATAAACAACCCTAATTTCTTATTCCTACAGCTAAGAAACAGAGAGGAAGCAAATGAGCAAAACACAAGTTTAATGTAATCACTGGGCTGAAGTATTTTAAGTATTGATTTTTATAGTGATAGAAGTAAAAATATACTATGGTACATTCTATGATGATCATTTTAGAAAAGGGAAAATTTCTTATTCATGATGTGTTTTACCTGAGAATTAAGTTCTGAAAGGACTGTCTCCCAAGATCTTCTCATAGCAATAAAGCTATTGAGGGCATTTCTGTTAATGTTTTTCTATAGCAAATTTCTAATGCTGTTTCTTGTAAGATTTTTGTTTGTTTGTTTGTTCTTTCTGTTTTTGATGAAAGTTAATAATACATAGAAAATGGAAGTCGAAATTCACGAAGTGATTTTGAAGAGATAAAACTAATCCGGTCCAAGTTTTCAACAAATCTGATTGAAAAAGAAAATCTAGGACATACCCAGAGATTATAATTTGAGAGATTATTACCTTAATGTTTTTCAATCAATCAATTCATGGTGACTAGAGATTTTTACTTCTCTTTTAATGAGTAAAGCCACTGTATAGAAAAGAAAGGGAATTTTAAGACACTTTAAAGTCAGTTCTTGAGAATATTTTAACACCTAAACATGATTATATACACTTTTTTATTCTTGAGATTTACTCCAAAGCCTACAGCTCAGATTTATTTTTTAAGAGCGTACCAAAATAAGATTCTGTGAAGTGAATAATTTGCATAACAGAACCATACCTGTATGGACAAGAACAAATCAAGCAGAGAAAGAATAAACCAAAACATGTTGGGACTTTCTTCCTCCACCCAACAGTCAATGATCTTTTTAAGGATTTTTGTCTTTGCATGCATGTTGGGTTTTGTTTTTGTTGGGGTTTTGTTTTGTTTTGTTTTACACTGTAAAGAAATACAACCCTCACCTCAGTTTTATATATTCAGAAAACTATGATTCTTACTTGGCCAATCTTTTAATCCCTGGAAAGAAGCACACTGAAATACTAAGCTTCTAAAATCAAAAGGTCATTTGTTAAGAGTAATTAAGATACTGGAAGGGATGATGTCTTAGACTCCACAATGGTAGATGTATTATCGATTTCTATGGATTGTTTTACAAGGTAGTTTCCACATGTTCTAGCTCATCTAAATCCTCATAATGGTTCTTTGAGTGCTGGCTCTGCCAATCACTGGTATGACTCCCAGTGAGTTATTTAGACTTTCTAAACCTCATGTCTTCATGGCTAACATGAATACAGTTCATGTCAGTGTCACTAGGGAATCAGATGACCTAATACATGTGAACATTTCACATGGTGCCTGGCAGAGTAATAATCACTCAGTAGGTATTGACTTTCATTTGTATTGTTGTCATATCGACAAATACCACCCACCACTCCAGAAAAGAATGTGTGGGAGTTGGGAATATTGGGAACATGCATAATTTAGAAAGGTAGGGTCTCTTTCTTTTGCTTAGAGGAGAATTTACCTAAACCAGACTCCTCCCAAAATGTAAGATTCTGCTGTGGAATTTATTTGGGTATCAACCTGGCTAGTCTAGCATAAGGCATTTCATGTTAGCAATGGGTGCTAAAGACTGTAGAGAAGCCACTGTTTCTGGTTATTTTTCCATTCAACCAATATTTATAGAAAACCTACTGTGCAGCAGGCTCTGTGGCAGGAGCTAGGAGCACTTAGATAGTCTTAGACATTACCCTCCAGTTGAGGAAAGAAAAAAATGTATCATTCATGAACTTCAACATCTTCATGTGCAGAAATGCAATATATGAATTGACTTACTGATTTACACAGACTCAGAACAATCATTTCTGGAATTGTGGTACTCATATTAGTAATAGCTCTCTCCTCTTGGTTGACAAATTCTATCATCTATCTATCTATCTATCTATCTATCTATCTATCCATCCATCCATCCATCCATATATCCATAACACAGACACCAGTCAAATAATATACATGAACAATCGAATAATACTTGCTCTCATTTCTTTTAGAGCTGACTGCTATTAATTCTACAAAAGCTTCTCTAAGATATAAAGATGGTAAGTTTTTGTCTATGTTTGCCTTTATGTTATGCTATAGCATTTTTCCTTCCTGATCAACTTAGCATCTGGCCTTAGGTGGAAACCTCAGAATAGCTGGTGATATTTTAAGTCAATCCATCATTTCTCAGGAGTGTTTTTCACAGAGTAAGTGCTTGTTTGGGTGTGAAAGAACTATAAATTAGGGGTACAGTGATTGCTCTGAATTCTTTCAACAATGGACTTGACTCATTTCTGTGACTTTTATTTCTACTGACTGAGGAAAACATGATATCAAGTTGCTTCTAGATATTTTTACATCTTTGTTCTTGCTGGTGGTTAATAACATGAACTGACACCAAGAGGTTTTTGTACAAAAGGCATAATGCTGCACTGTGAGTGCATTTTGTTTAATTCTCTTAATACTCACAGCGAAGGATAATATTCCTATTTTACACATGAAGGCAATGACTTAAAATTAATTAAGTCCCTTACACCATGACACACAGCGAGATTAGAGGCTTCAACCCGGACCTTCTGAAATAACAATTCATACATCTTACTCAGTTTTCTATTCTTCTACGTTGTTGTCATAAAACAAGATATCCCAAAGCCAAGGCCCTGAGACAGGTGTACACATGGGGAGGGGGTGTGAGTACAGGGATTCAAATGCCACAGACCAGACATTAACCCCAGTCTTTTTATTATTAGCTCCATGAATATGGGTACAGTAGTTACACTTTCTGGCAAGCAGGAATAACACAAATAACACCTCATCAATTACTGAAGACATAATGTCATATATGTGGAATGTCTAAATAGTTTATTTTATTTAGCTGACACATAAGTACTAGTTTCTCACCCTTTCTTCCAACATATATAACAAGAGAGTACAAGGAACATTGCTCTAGCTTTGCTGATCTGCCTTCCATGTCCAATATCAAGAGGCCTCTATACCTTAGCTAACATATTACTTGACCAAGGACACTTTGTCAAGGAATAATGAGTACAGCATCACTGGATGTTGTTTTCCACACCAAGGGCTAATGATTTTGGAATTCTGACTCAATGGAGATAAATACATAAATGAAATTTCCATGTGAACAGACTCAGCCTAATGGTTCATTGAATAGCCAATCTGACACACCAACATTGGCATTAATTATTTTTTGATATCTTGTATTTCCTGCAAAACCTCAAAGGATAACAAATGCAATTATCCTATAACATGTTAACTACAATAAATATATTCAGGGAGTGAGTTTGATCTCCTAAAGTTGCAGAGAATTTGGATTCGCTTCTTTCTTCCACTTTATTTTTATTATTTTTTAAGTTTTTATTTAAATTCCAGTTAGTTAACATACTAATTATAATATTAGTTTCAGGTATACAATACGGTGATTTAACACTTACACACATTACCCAGCGCTTATCACAACTAATGCCCTCTTTAATAAGCCCCCCCCCACCCTACCTTGAACACAACCAAATTTCCATTGATTGTACCCTTGATAGGAATCTTAGCAATGCACAAGATATATTGGCTAAGATGCTTCTAAATCAACAATTCATCTTTATATTTATGCTTAACTCTTTGTAACTGAGAGTATTTATTACTCTGGAAGTACAGAAATACAAAGTAGGTAAGAATGTGCTCATCAACATTATGTCACTAGGATTAAAATCTTGCTGGTGGTATTTATTAATCATATGACATCAGGCAAATTATTCTCTGTCCTCAATTTATTTGTAAAATGGCAATGAAAATAATAATCTCCTAGGTTATTGAAAAATTAAGAAAGATTAAATTTTTGCACACAAACTTTTCAAATTAAATGTCTGCCATTTAGTTAATGATTAAAGCATATTAGTTATATTATTACTTACAGACATGGTAGGGGTGAAGAAATGGTAAAAGCTATTTTAACCAATGCTTTTACAGACTGACTCATTCATCTAAGACATAGCCTTACTTTTTAATACTTTAGAATGTTCTAAGTGAATTTCCCAGAGGTTATTGATTGACTTGACCTGCAAGCTGGATTTTGAGTTATTTTGTGATGGTGGTGGGGATAGTGTTAGTGGTGTAGATGTTTATTGTCAGGTTGTGAGGGTCTAGGGGTTTCCTTTCCACTTAGATCATCAGAAATGTATAATGTGACCTGTCTCCCATTAATAAGCCTTAGCCTTTCAAAAGAAAGAAGGTGAAAATAATAAATGACTTGTTTTAGATACTTTGCAGCTGCAGCTCAAGACCACCTCTGCCTACTACACTTACCTTCTACTGCTCTTCAAGAGCCTGATCTACTCTGTCATCGTGGCCATCTGTCTGCTTGGGAGACCAGCATTCTGTGGCAATGGGAAGAGTTCCTAACACATGGTGGCACAAGAGTCCACTTTTCTCCAATGGCAATTGTCGCCAAAAGTATCTGTTGTGGATCTAATGGGGCTTTCTCTCTGAAACTGTTATATTTCAGTTCAAATGTGTCTTTTTCTATTGTGTCATTACTCCAGAACAGGTCTACACACCACTGGGCAAACAGAAACTTTCCCTTTGCAGCTAGAACAAATTCTGCCATGACTCTGGGGCGGGGCCAGGGGGCATCCACAGGGGTGTCAGCACTGCTCTCTCCTTAATGTCCACCAGCTCCTCAGCCACCCAGTCCCAGAGCCTCTGAGCACAGCCAACACAGCTTCAGCTGCATCTCCTGGGGCTCTTTAACCAGATAACTTCTTCAAAGCCATTTATTCTACACATCTGGACTTCCATCACTGCTGCCCGAGTTTTGTACTGCTTTACATAATAGGCACAATAAAAACAATCAAAGGTCTACTTTGGCCTCTGTGTTCTTTCATTTGGTGCAATGTAACTGAGAGTTCAAATTCAACAGTGGTTGTTATATTGGTCATTTCCTCATTTCTAATTCTTTGTCTGAGATAGTCCTTATGAAGTCTTCTTTGGGGCATCAGCCCCAGGAGAGCCACAGCCAGTGAAGGTGCCAGGTTGTTTCTCCTTCAAAGGTCAGCAAATTCAGATTCATTTGGTTGAAGACACTCTGGTGGTGACAGTATGAATGGTGGGTGTCTCAGACCTATCCCTATGTGTCAGGAACACCATGTTTCCTGACCTCACAAGAACCCCATAAGAGTTCCACTAACACCAGAAATGTGGGGTGGTGGCATAGTTAAGTGCTTGAATTCTGAATCCCAAGTGCTTGAGTCTATAGCTATATGAACTCTCTGTGCCGTAAGTTTATCATTTGTAAAATAAAGATACAATGTGCCCATCTCCTGGAGTTGTGTAGATGAGATAATTTAATTTTGTTGGGTACATGTGAGTCCTCAACAGTATTAGCATCTACTGTTGACAGCTCTACTTTAGAAATAATAGATAACACACCTGCTCTCTCGCTCTCTCTCTCACACACACATTCCCTCAAGCTATGCAGTAAGATTTACATGCAATACCATAGCACCATTTACAACAGTTCCAAATTAAGTCCAACACCTAAGAAGAAACTAAGAAAATAAAATAAATGATGTTGTATGATGGACTAGTATGCATCTACACAAAAATGTAGATTGTTGAAGAAATGTAAAATTAATCAGAAAGTAATGTTGAGGTGGCAGTGGCTGGCTCAGTGGAAAGAGCAAGGGACTTGATCTCAGGTTGTAAGCTGGTGCCCCACGGTGGGTATAGAGATTACATGAATAAATAAAAATATTTTTTAAAGAAGGTATTGTTGAAAAAATATGCATGGCAGGACCCTACTAAAATTTTTAGATTATACATTTACATGGTTCCAAAATCAAAACACTCTAAAAATTGAAACACAAAATCTTGTTCCAACCACTGTCTCTACCTGCTCACCACTTACAGGTCACATTTTTGTTTCTTGCCCAACCTTCCAGTTTTTATTTAGGCAAATATGAATTTAGTTGTAAAAAATAAATAAATACATATAGATCTAATTTTCTTCCTCCTAACACACAAGTAGTACTGACACATTATTCTGCACTTCTTGCTTATACATCCTTGTGTTCTTTTTATGTCAACATAAAAGAACACTTAGAAAGTTGCACAGTATTTCATTGCTGACTCTACCTTATAAGAGATATTATAAGACCAGTTCCTCGTGGTAGACCAGTGAATTATTTCCAGTCTTTTATAATTATAAAATATGCTGAAATATAATATTATTTTATATCACTTCAGATGTGGTTACTGGTCATTTTAGCAGGTGTTGCCAACTTACCCCACTAGAGTTAGCACCATTGTACGCTTCTTTCATGATGTAGGTGAGTATCAGGACAGTGCTGTCAAACACCACAATTTTGCTAATCTGACAAGTGAAAAATAGTCTCTCATCATGGTCTTCATTTGCTTTTATCTGATGAGGATAACCATCTTTTCATGTATTGAGTCCATTTCTATTTCTTTTTTTGTGTGTGTGCAAATATTTGTCCAGTGGTTTGCCCATGATTTCTATGAGTAAAAACACTAACAAGTATGGCACTCACTTATATATGTGTGTGTATTTCTATAAATATGGGTATAAAAATGTTCAATGCATGGTTGGTGGGTGAAAAAATAAATGATATTTTTCTCCTTATCTAATGAATCCTTTTAAAGTAGAAGTTTTTATATTTTAGCATAAAACAGTATCTTATTTAAAATTCAAAAAGATCTTTTATTTACAATCAGCCTAAGTTTCTATGAAACAGGTGTTTTTGGAAACCAAGTAGAGGTTTCCATGTGAAAACAACATAAGACCCACCAGATACAAGAAAGTGGAAATTTAATTTTGTTCTACTCCTTGATTCTCAAGAATGTGATCAGACTTCTTTAGGACAAATGCCTGGCCTCTACTTAGGACAAATGCCTGAACTTGTTTCTGCACATGGAAAGCACAGAGACACAGAGGGGAAACTAACAAATGACCTACAGCTCTGTGGGCTGATGTCACTGCTGGGCCTCCTAGGCAGTGTCTCCTGTGGCTTCCAACACCTTAGCACCTTCCTTCCCCAAATGGACCTGGGCTGCCCTGGACTGAGAGGTGCAGAGAGGGGGAGGGTGGTGGTGCTGGAGATCGTGTGGGTGGCGACGGTGTTCCGTTTTCTCAGGCTTGTTTCATCTATGTGCTCTGTCAAATGTGGTTGATTCATGGAAAATGTTCAAAGTCAAACCGGCCCCTGCTGGTTGGGGCTCTACAAGCTTTGGCTTCAGTGTTGAAAGATAAAATAAAGGCAGTTAAACCACAGCCAACTAGTTCACTTCCTGAAGGCCACAGCTAATTAAAAGAACACATCCATCTGCACACGCATGCTCCTGATGTCAAATATACTCTCAGGCTGTGGGTGAGGGTCCCCTATTTTATACTGAGTTCATTCCAAGTAGCTGCTATGCAAGTTGGGATTGTATGACCAGGACTGTCGAGATGCTGCTCCCTCAGTCCACTCCAATGACACTGTTCTGAAGGAAAGAGCATGCACACTCCTTGTAGCACTAAGTGATTTCCGACATTCCACCAGGATCTGCTCTTTTCTGTGGCAGGTGATTTACTGAGGCTTCTATTTTCTGTCTCATATAGTCAGTGTAAGCAGGGTGACACGAGATCCTTGCCCATGAAGCTACTAGCACAGGTAGACTGTAGTCGACACAACAGCAGGTCCTTCTTTCCTCACAAGAACACAGACATATGGAGGCTCTGAGTTCACCTGTGTCATTGAATGTCATAGACTGAGTCATCTCTGTCCCTCTACAGGGACAAATGACTGTAGAGTCAAACTTAATTAGAGCAAGGCTCCATAGAAGTCATGCACATCAGAGAAACATGCTGGGGGTGGAGCAGAGGAGGGCTGTTCAGCAATGAGAGCACAAAGAGCAAGTATCCTCACCCTCACCCCATCCAAGCATGGAACAGAGAGGGTGCCCAGTCCCTGGATCCAATCTGTCCAGTTTATGGCAAAGTATAGTTCTATTGCTGAGATCATCACCCTAGGCTTTCATAGTCTGACTGACAGCACATTCTCACCACAGACTTCACTCTAGGTCTGTGCTTGACAGCCAACTTCTGGGTGAGCCTGGGTTTCCAGGAGCATGGGCCCCATGCCATAGGTTCTGTCTAGCATGTGTAGATGAGGGCACATTCTCAGGGTAAAGTATACATTTCCATCTAGTTTAGTCATCATCTATGGGCCTGGTATGAATGTGGCTCCCTTCCTGAGACGGGACATTCTAACTGTGACCACACCTCTGACTCCTGAGATTTGGGTCCCAAGGCCAAACCCCCACCTTTCTCCACCATAAGAAGCTCTTTCTGGTTAGGCCTCAGCTTCCCACACCTCTCCCGGTGGCACTTCTGTCATTTGGTCCATTCTCAGAACAAGCACAGATGGATGATCTGACCTGCACAAATCAATGGTCATTTTCCACCCAGATCAGCAGCAGTGCTGCTATGCACAAGTGAGTTTCTCTTGAAGGACACAATGAATTAAAGAAGGAAAATTAACTGACACACTACTTTCCTATGAAGCATTAAGATAAACATTCATGTTTGAAAGAAAGATTTCACAACATAATTTAGTTCATTTTACTTCAAATTAGTGAAGCACATTATTTTTTTAAAAAAGAGCCAAATACAAAGGGAAAATGATGGCAATGATTTCAAACTGTGGGTTCAAAATAAATCTCACACTATTTCAGAAGCACACTTCTAAGAGAAAGATGCTATTTCATGATGAAAATAATACAAAATACCTTGTTACACTGTACATCTACTCACATTCCCTCCTGGCCCCTTTGTTAATTCCAAGGCTTCAGGCCAAATCTATGATGCAAAACAAGAGAAGTAAAATGAATCATTTGATATGTTAGAATTTATTACTTCTTAAAATTGTAAAAAGAGCACATTCTCGTGAGGTTAAAAAAAAAAACCCATGGGAAATGAAGGATGTTATAAAAGAAACACAAAAGAAATCTGAAACATGAAACAAAATTCCAATCTGGATATCAAAATAAAAAGATATTTTCTTGGCGTGTCTTGGTGGAACATTCAGTTAAGCATCTGATTCTTGGTTTCAGCTCAGATCCTAGTCTCAGGATTTAGGGATGAAGCCTTTGCCTCAGGATCCTTGCTCAGTGCAGAGTCTGCTCAAATATTTTCACTCCCTTTGCCCTACCTCTCCCTGCACTAGCATGCTTTCTCCCCCCAAAAATAAATAAATAAATCTTTTTTTTTTAACTTGGAGGTTTTTTTTTTTTTTTGAGAATTAATAAATTTTATTTATTTATTTTTTAAACATATATTTTTATCCCCAGGGGTACAGGTCTGTGAATCGCCAGGTTTATACATTTCACAGCACTCACCATAGCACATACCCTCCCCAATGTCCATAACCCCACCCCCACCCCCAACCTCCCTCCCCCCATCAACCCTCTGTTTTGTGAGATTAAGAGTCACTTATGGGGGGCACCTGGGTGGCTCAGTGGGTTAAAGCCTCTGCCTTCGGCTCAGGTCATGGT